CCACCTCCCATGAAAAAGTTTCGCTTTTTTTTTTATGGAATGTATCCAAGGTAACAGCACCACAGTAGTACAGTCTGTAATCACACACCCTGATTTTTTTTTTGACGAGAGAAGCATTACCCCACACACACATCCCACGTTTAATTTTTGTTTTAAGTACCGATGCATGCAAAGCATTCCATTTCCAGAAACAATGCAAAAATGAGGTAATAGGAGTAATAAAAAGTATTAATTTCTAAATAAATAAATTATAATTAAAAATGCAAAAAACAACTATAAAAATAATAAAAAAAAAAAAAAAAGGAAAAAAAAAAAGAAAATAAATGCCCGCAAGGCGGGGAGGTGCCTCCTCCCCACCGCGCGGCTTGCCCGGAGTGAGGGCTTGGATTTGCCTGGCTCCTTCCCCTGCTTTGCGCCGCGGGACAGCCTGGCTTACAGTGTATGTGAGAGCAATAATTTGCCCTGCTTCGGTGCTAGCAGTGGTTTTAATAGTGGTTGTAACGCTGTTTGCATCTGCTGCTGCTGGAGCGAGGCCCGGCGTTCCCTGCGGAGACACGTCTTGCGGGACTCCGTGCTACCCCGAGAGCGAAACAGGGGCTCGCGGGAACCAGAAACCGTTTAAACACAAGAGTGTTTAAAAGTAAAAATAATCTTATTAATCCCCCCTGTTCCTCTGCACCTCTCTTTTGCTCCCTTACTACATTAAAAAAAAAAAAGAAAAGCATTATATTAAAAAAAAAGGCTTTTCTGTAGCTGGTATTGATTCTCCGGAGGGTTTTCTGATAGAGGAGGGAGAGGACGGCTCTGATCCTGCTGCCTCCCAGTCCTGGGGGCTGGTGGTCTGCAGTCTGTGTATCACAGACCCATTCCCTTGGCACTTCAGGGACTAATGCCTAATTCTACTTTGTGCACAATTATAATGAGACTGATAAATTAGCATTTGGCTCCTTTTTAAATCATCACTTTAGTTTCCATATGGATACAGAGTGAAATGTGTGTGTGTGTGTGTGTGTGTGTGTGTGTGTGTGTGTGTGTGTGTGTGTGTGTGTGTGTGTGTGTGTGTGTGTGTGTGTGTGTGTGTGTGTGTGTGTGTGTGTGTGTGTGTGTGTGTGTGTATATATATATATGTATATATAAAGTGTGTTTGTGTGTGTAGAGATACGTGTGTACTTTGACATGGTTTTGAAGTCCAGTCCCTCTAGAAAGCAGCAAATTCTCCTTTAAAACTGCCTTTGAAATTCCCTTCCTGGGTGGAAATGCTCACATCATCATCATTTTCCTACCAACTACAAAAATTCTCCCCCCCTTTTTTTTTTTCCCCTCCCATCCTGTTATCAGAGCTGCTCTGAGAGATTGGCCACAGCAGCCCATGAGCCAGAGTGGATTAAAAGTAATAATAATAGTAATAACAGACTTCCAAAATCCCTTGCTTGCTTGTCCGTGTGGAAGCCAGGAAAGAGGGATGTGCGGGAAGGACTGTGGCACTGAGAGTTTTGCACAAAGTCTGCTAGGTTGGGTTTTCCTTTTTAGACACTGCCTTTAGTTAGTGCATCATCTTGTGCTTTTGCATTGCGGAGGAAGGGGCCTCATCACCTTCCTAGTGTGATTTCCAAGGGATCCACCAAAGCACAACTATGGAGGCAGACCCCTATAATCATATTTTTCAACCAACAAAGAGTCTAGGAGCTCTCAAACTCATCAGGCAGACCTGCAACATGGTGCATCCATCATGGTATCCCATGTTGGCGTGAAAGGGTCCATGCCATAGGGACCACAATGCAGAGTGCCGACAATGGCCACCAAGGCTCACAAGAGAAAGAGGTATGAAAAATTACAATTGTCAAGACAGCCTGTGGCCTTCCTAGGATTTGGTATGTCAAGCTACTTCATTAAGATATAGAAATAAAAGAAAGAGAATGCATGTCTATATTGTGCCCCTAGAGAAAGTGTCCAGCACCAGCAGATAAGCAGGAACAAAGCATCTCCCTTTTGCTTCATTCATTTCATTCTCTTTTTTTTTCTTTTTAGGCATCTCTAAATTTGCAACACACTGTAAACACAAGGAAAGGAAGTACACACGACTAAGGCAAAGAGCACAATCCTTCTGACTGTAAACAGGATTTTGCTTTTTCGCCTCTTCCCCCAAGGGTGGGAAAGTTCGACCTCTCTATTCCCCCTCTGTAATGTATTATTAATCAGGCACCAAAATAAGGAATCTATGAAAAAATATTTGGTGCAAATTAGGTAACAGCAACATGTCCACCACAAGATGAGTAGGGCATCAAACACAACATTTCTTAAGCTAACATGCTCCAGCTGCCATCCATAGAAATAGCTAAAGAATCCCTAACGTGTTTCTACTTAATCAAGAGGTATATATACAATCCTCATGAAATGCAGGATTGACAGGCCAGACTACCACAGCTAGTTCCTTCATGTTCAAGACTAAATCTTCTGCAGCACGGAGTCTCTGAGCGCCGGGAATGCCAGCTCCCTTTCACTGGGCCAGTATCCTGTAGGTGCAATAGCTCCTACTGCTAGATATCATATCGTCAATTCCTCCTTCTTGCTAACGTGCCTGCAGACTTTTCCTTTCAATCAAATGGCTCAGAAGGCAAAATTTTGCTGCAAGGGTTCACGGCCATACGACCTGATAAGGAAAAATGGTGCATCCGGCCAGTTCTTTCAGATGTCCGAGCCAAGCTGTGGTTCAATGTCCACCGTGC